TTAAAAAACTAATCCTGGAATTGCACTTTTTTAGCACCTGTATCAGGATTATAGGCAGCAATTGGTGTTCAAAAATCAAAACAATTGTCACCAAAGGCTAAACAACTATACAAAACAACCACATACCTCAAGAAGAAAGTTTCGATATATCGACAACGCAGTCGTATGCTAAAACAAAGGTTGAAAAGCGCAAGAACGCAGTTTGAAGTTAGAAACACTGGCTTGAGAAAGGAAGCAATTGATTTTTGTTTGGCACAATTAAATGCTAAGTTAAAGAAACCTCGCGGACGACGGTATTCTTACGAAGACAAATTAATGTGCCTTGCACTGTACAAACATTCTGGTACATCCTATAAATTTTTATCGAAAATGTTTAATTTACCATTCCGACGTACCATTATGCGGCTACTTTCAAATATCCCCATAAGTGGTGGAATAAATGAAAGTTTATTTGAGAATTTAAAAAAGGCTGCAGTAAAATTGAATTCTTTACAACGCCATTGCGTTCTCATGTTTGATGAAGTGGCATTAAAACCAAATTTAGAATTCAACAAATACGCTAATCAAATTTATGGTTTAGAGAATGGGAAAATAGTAGATCATGCATTAGTTTTTATGATCAGAGGAATAATGAAGAAATATAAACAAACAGTAGCCTATTATTTCTGCCAGGGAACAACTAAACAAGTTGATTTAAAAAGAACTTTGAAAGAAATAGTATGTAAAATACAAGAGGCGAATTTTACTGTGGCTGCTACGATATGTGATCAGGCCACCACAAATCGCACTGTAATAGAAAGTAAGAGCTAATAGAAAATTATCACATAACATGCTATATTGTATTATTATTTGTTTAATTGTTCTACATTTGGTTCAAGAAGCCCATGCATATTATTTAAAAAATAATTTATCAACAAAAAGGAGGTTGATCATTCAAAGCAAAGAGATCATTCCTTTGTATGACATGCCCCATATTTTAAAAGGCCTTAGAAACAATTTATTAAACAAAAATTTAGTATTGCAAAAGTATCATGAAATCATTGTTGCCAAATGGGAAGATCTGGAGAAATCCTATGAAATCGATTGTGGTAGTGGCGATTTTCGGTTATTGCCAAAAATCACAGATTTTCGTGTAAGAAGAAATAAAATTAAAAAAATGAAGGTGTCATGTGCGGCACAAGTTTTCAGCCATACTACTGCAGCCGCGATATCTTACATGGCCAAAACAAGTATGTATAAGAAAGAAAAACCAAATTTTGTATGTATATACTCAATGGGCTTCATAATAAATATTGATTTTTTTAAGCGATACTGATATTAGCGGGCGTATAAAAATCACGTCACGAGCCCAGGAAACAGCCACAATTTTCAAATTTTTTGATCAGCTATTTGATAGTGTTAATGGGGGAAGCTGTAGGCCAACTCAGCGGTCAAAACACATCAGTTTTTGGATGGATGCAAAAGGTAATTATAACGCATTAATCTATGAAACAAACTAAGATGAATATTATAAAATGTTATGTAATATAATTTAAATGAAATTTACAAAAAATAACATAATTTACAAATTTGCAATGGTTAAAAATCCAAGTTTTAATTAAAGTTTATGGTTTTTTGTTTTAGAGAAAATGAGGAACATGTTTTTTCAACAGGAAGGAAGTAATGAAAAAGTTATCCCACACAGTTTAAAAAACTTTATTTTGAATTTGGAGGGATTCATTGACCTCAGCCAAGTACTATTTTCACATGGGGCGTCCTATTATTTTCCACGGTGTCTCAACCCAGACCCTCTGGAAAACTTTTTCGGTCAGGTGCGTCAGCGAAACACCAATCCCACGCCAAAACAGTTCATGGAAACATTTAAAAGTCTGTTGATAAGAAAAATGGTTAGCACCCATTCAGTGGGTGCTAACTGTGAGGAAGGTTTCGACTCTTCCTTATTTCAATTAAGGGAATATACAAAAGCAGCTTCTGCACAAAATACTGTCCAGGAAGAACTTGTAGAAAACGATAATGTCTACACAATAATAAACAATATAGAAAAAAAGACAGATAGATTCCGCGGCTATTGGATATGTAAGCGGTTTCATCACAAAAAAGTTATTGCATACAGTTTCCTGCAACTTTTGCAAACTACACATCCTCATTAACCAAAGTCGTGATGCAAATACCACATACCATACATTTATAAAAGAAAAAGAATTATGTAAATATCGAAGTTTACAATATTATCAGGTATCCTTTATTGAAGACATAGAAAAATGTTATTAAAAAAAATCCTTATAGGCAAAGTGGCCTTATAGCTGGAAATTATTTTGAACTTCGTAATTCGACCGCTAGGGGGCGCATCTGCCATAGAGAAACATAAATTTCCCGCTATTTCAGAAAGTCAGACGATGAGCTATAACGTTGACAACATCATTCAGTAGCTTAGATAATACCGCATCGCTTTTGTTTTGCGATATTTCTCATATCTGTCATAATAAGGGAATGGGAGGCCAATGCGTTTTCAAATGTTTACATTTTAATATCTCCTGGACCATTCAACCGATTTGAATATTTTCGGTGTTGTTTGAAAGAGCATTTTACGCTCTTTTTAAAGATATTTACAGTACGACCGTTGCTTTAAAACAAATAAGCTAGAGGGCGTTATCTGCAGCGATTACATATTTTAGTGATTTTTGAAGAAAAGTTAAATGGAACGGTACTATTTACTTCACAGACCCTTAGTCACTTTAAAATTTGCAAAATTTTAGTGAAAGCCGCATCTCGATATCGCCAGCCGTTCTCGAATTATAGAAGAAAATGTTAAAAACTCGAGTGCCATCAATCGGATCCAGTTACCTCATCGAGAAAAACAAATCACATAACCATGGTAACTATAAACATGTTATTTACTAACGCAGAAGTGTATGATAGAGCGTATGATGATTTATTTTCAATGTTTCGAATACGATGCAACTGCATGGCAAAAATGTGTAATGCAATTACGACAAAGAAAGACATTTTTCTCTAGAAGTGTTTTTAAGATTGACTTAGCGATTACGGAAAACTGGCAACGTGTAGCCCATTCAGACATCTCTATGAATTCGTAAATCACATTGATACGCAATACGATCCCACATAATCTGGGAACTCCGAAAACAATTGTCCACAAGAGTTCTCAAGAGAATAATATCTCCACCACATTGTGTTACATCAGGCCTTAACAGATACCGATTATGATAACAGACTGAACTATTATCTTTGACTTATAAATATGATTTGGGCAAATCCAAACCTTTTACCACAAATGTTATGGATGCATGAAGCATCTGTCCACAAGCTGATGTAAACTTGCATAATATGCATTCTTGGTTCGAGCAAAACCCACACTGCTTTCACCCCTTTATCTAAATTATTTTATTATTGGGTAGACTAAACGACCTGACTTTTCAAGAAAAACCAATAACCAGGGAAAATATGACAAAATACTAAATGCCAGTAGAAACGTGTCCAGGGCCGAGACCTAAACAGTGTTTTTTTTCGTCGAAACTAGATTAAATAAATTCATCGAGGTTTATGGAAGGCATTTCGAACATTAGTGAGCTATTTTTGCCAAAAATTTAAGTAATTCTAAGTGTTTTGGTTTATTTTGTTTTATTATCATTGTTGATGTTTCATTGGTCCGTTGGCTTTTAAACACGCCTCAAACGTAGTTTTGAGGCAGTTCTAAGCTTGGATAAAGTATGAAGGAAGGGTCTAGGTAATAATATTTTTGTGCTTTCTTATTTGTTTCCTAAGGTAACTTGATCCGATTAAGATATACGAATTTTTAACATTTTCTTCTATAATTCGAGAATGGATGGAGATATCGAGATGTGGTTTTCACTAATATTTAGCAAATTTTATGGTGATTATAGGTCTGTGAAGTAAATAGTACCGTTCCATTTAACTTTCTTTCAAAAATCACGAAAATATGTAACCGCTGCAGATAACGCCCTCTAGCTTATTTGTTTTAAAAAAAGCGGTCTTACTGAAAATATCTTTTAAAAAGCATGAAATGCTCTTTCAAACAAGACCAAAAATATTCAAATCGGTTGAATGGTCCAGGAGATATTAAAATGTAAACATTTGAAAACGCATTGGCCTCCCCCTCCCTTATTATGACAGATATGAGACATATTGCAAAACAAAAGCGATGCGGTATTATCCAAGCTACTAAATGATGTTGTCCAAGTTATAGCTCATCGTCTATCTTTCTGAGATAGCGGGAATTTTATGTTTCTCTATGGCAGTTACGCCCCCTAACGGTCGAATTACGTACTTCAAAATAATTTCCAGCTATTTCTCTTGCCCACTTTGCTTATAAGGATTTTTTTCCCAAACCTATAGGCCTTACCGTTGTCGAGATACAGCCGCTCCGTACCCTTACCGGGACACCTGTATATACAACAGTAATAGAATAAATATAGGTTATCTTAAAACAAAAATAAAAAATATCTTAAAATAAATTTATTGATTTAACTTTTATATAAATGAAAATATTACAATAATATTTTTATTTTATGATTTTTATATAATATATGTAATGCCTAATGATAGAAGCAGAATTTGGATAAATATATAATATATATAATTAACTGCTTAATTTTTGCCCCTGGACCCATTGTTCTATATTGTCTGTGTAATTCGCAAAATGTGTAACATTATTTTTTTGTTATACTTATTTTTTTTTAAGTGTAACAAAAATAATATGAAGTTGCGGATTTTGCGAATTAGACCGACATGGCAATTTATAAAATAAAAATAATTTCAAATCAAGATGGCTACCAATAGTTTCAAAACGACGGCGAAGATCTCGTTAGATGGCACTTACGAGGTAACAAAAACTTGCTGGTAAGTTGCATATCTATTATACCTTTATCTAGGGGGTGAGGGTGCGGTGAATCCTAGGTAGGCTTGTCCTACTTGTTTTGCCGTACTCAGGGTTCTTGTCTTATGGCCTGAATCAAGACCGACACTGCAGTTTTTACTGCTCCTTCACGAGGTGCCCCTGTACCATACCAAAAGTGTCGGATCTAGACTTGCCAGTCGATAAACAGGCCTCCCGCCCGGCTGTCGTCGCGTGGCTTAGGGCTTGCACGGGAGAAAACGTGGCCGGGGACGACTGATATAGTCGAAACCGTTATACCATGCATGCCTATTGTTTGTGGACCTGTTCCACGGGCAGGGCATGCGGGGGATCTTGGCTTAATTGCCTGGGTCAAGAGGAGACAACCTCATTAAAAACCCCAAAGTGAATGTGGAACAGCTTATGCAGAGCACTTTAGGCTGTCATCTGACGGTCTAGTCATCCGGGAAGTGATGGCTGCTAATAAGCGGACTCTGGAGACCTGCCGCCCTTCAGTTTCAATAGGCTTATCGGGGTATGGGAGCACTGCCTCGATGGACTACCCTTTCTGCCCTACTCGTGGGATTAGTATGGAGACGCCCAGTATTAGTAAAACCCTAGACGAGGGGGGGATAAACCTCGATCCTGAAAAGGAAACCAAAAAGATGGAGGATAGTCCTCCATCACAATCTACACTTGTGGTAGCCGGACCGTCCGCACCCAAGTCAAGTTCTCCCTCTCTGGAAGAGGAGCAGGTTCTTCTGCACTCTGAAGGGGAGGAAGATGAGGAGGAGGCTGTTAAGGCACTAGACAGTCTCACCCTTAAACAAAAACGCCTGCGGCTGCCAGGGTCCGCTAGAAGGAACCTGCGCAAGCTTATGGGGAGCGGGGTGCCTTATGAGACCGCCCTCAAGCAGGTGATTGAAAAGATCAACACTCCATCGGAAAAGAGCGCAGAGACCTCTAAGCCTTTGGCCAAGAGGGCGCGCTCTGATGGGTCGACGCCCGAGCAAGTGGCTAAGAAGCCCAAGCCGGCTGAGATCGTGCCGACGGAAACCAAAGCTGCTTCAGAGAAGCAGCTGACTTACAAAGCTGCTGTGAGCGGTATCAGGGTTGGATTAATCCACCCAGACTATCCCGCCCAGCAGTTCAATGTAGAACAAGTGGGGTTGCTACGGAGGGAGGTTATTTCAGCCGTAGACAACATCCAAAAAGGGGGTGTGCGAACACAAGTCCGGTTCGAGGGCTGTGCGACGCGTCCAGGCTGGCTTTTAGTCACCTGCGCGGATGCCTGCTCGAAGGACTGGCTTGTGAATACAGCCAATAGCCTTCATCCATGGGAGGGTGCCCAGATTAAGGCGGTCGAGGGGAAAGATATTCCCAGGCCGCACGTCTGTGTAGCATATATCCCAGACGATGAAGCTAATGTTCCTCTCACCAAAGAGACGGTGTTAACCCGATTGGAGGTGATGAACAACTCACTCCAAACATCCGAGTGGACGGTTCTGAACACCACCAGATCCGGACCGGGGCAGACGTGGACCTTCGCGGTTGACGAAGTGTCTTGCAACGCCCTGGAAGAACTGTGCTGGCGGCCGTACTTCGGATATGGAAGAATTCAGTTCCGACTGAAAGGAAAGGGAGTGGAGAATCCCGCACCTACTACCGAGACGACGGAGGCTGTGACAGTCGCCCCGTCGACATCATCAGCTCCCGCGGCAACAAGCGCCAAGCGCGTGAAAAGATCGCCAGGTGTGAAACCCGGCCGAGGTGGGATATCCGCACGTGCCGGGGTGTCCAGCAGGGGGCGTCGTGCAGGTGCTCGTTCTGCACCACGGGAGAGTGGAGAAAGAGGAAAGTCCTCGACTCCTGCCCGAGGCTCGAGAGGGCGCGCTGGAATGAGAGGGGCCGGTGGGACGGCTGCTCCATCCCATGCGAGAGGTAAGTAGGGGAAACTGTACTCAGCTCAGTGGATAAGTCTATTAACTGTTTACAGGTAAACCTGCAGCACGCTAGGGCGGCTACGGCTGTCCTTAGCAGAACCTGGATGAGTGAGCGAATTGATATTGCCCTCATTCAGGAACCATGGCTCGCCAATACCGGGCGCATCAGCGGACTCGGTAATTTATCCGGTAAGTTACTTTGCTCAGGAGATAGACCCAGAGCTTGTTTACTTATCAGGAACAACATTAATGCTTTCTTAATCTCAGAGCATAGCGACCGCGATTGTGTGGCTGCGGTTCTGAGAATCCGAGGTGAGAAGGGCTGGACAGAAATTGTCATCTGCTCGGCATACTTCCCCGGAACGGAAAATGACCTTCCCCCGGCCGCTGTGCGAGACATAATTGCCTACAGCCGGAGGAATAACCTGCAAGTTGTTGTTGGATGTGACGCCAATGCCCACCACACAATGTGGGCAAGCACCAACACAAATGAAAGAGGTGAGTTACTTTTTGACTACCTATTAGGGGAGGGGCTTACTGTTAATAATGTAGGCGCCAAACCAACCTTTGTTACCAGAAATAGAGCAGAGGTACTTGACATTACGTTCAGCTCAATTATATTAAGCTCTAAGATAACCTCCTGGAGGGTATCCTCTGAACCGTCGTGTTCAGATCATAGACATATTCAATTTAAAATTGATCTAGGGATGAAATCGGACTGTACGTACCGTAATCCCCGTAGCACTAATTGGGATCTGTTTAAGAGTTGCCTTGCAGATAACCTAACTAGTGTTATCGCAACCGTTAGGAACTGTGATCAGGTTGAAATAGCCACGGAGCAGATCTCTGTGGCAATTCGCTCTGCATATCACAGTAGCAGTCCACTGAAGGTGAAAAGTAGTAATCGGGGCACACCCTGGTGGAACGAATCTCTTAGCTCCGAAAGACAAGAGGTCCGAAAGCTTTTCAACCGGGCCAAGACATTAGGTGTGCGACGTCCTTTCCTGGTTCGGTCCTAGGAAAGGGGTCTTGGTGCCTCCTTTTTTTTATGTTCGGGATGTTATCGGTCTCGGGCGCCACCTTATGTTTAGAGAGTTAAGGAACTCTTTCGCCTCCAAGTAGCTTTTGGGGGTTACAGTCGGAGATTCAGGGTGTTTGAGAGAGGGTTAAAAAAAATAAAAACATGCGGTTCATAA